AAAATGTAATGTTTGCGATAAAAATTACCTTTTATCGGGATGTTTTTTGTACTTAAAACTGCCATAACTTTTTCAAAAATGAACAAATAAAAATAATATTTTTTTGTATTGAAACCTTAGATATTTCCCTTTCATTTGATATAATTTTTTTTGAAAATCTAACACTTATTCTGCTCACTGAGGGAATTTAAAATAGTAATTTTTTTACAAAAAATAACTTTTTCAACTTGATTTTTGATAATGTTCCGGAAATACTGCGTCCTTTAAACATATATAAAATTAAAGCTTATTTTATGTACTACAAAATGAAAAAAAAAAATTTGTCCCGACGACCTATCTTCTATACGCAAATGGCTACCATATTCAAAAATATGCTATTTTTGTATGAAAATTATGGGTTTTGTATTTTATTTTAATAGAAGTTGATGTTGCTTTTGCAATTATCCAACAATTTTTTAAAATTAAACACTATCTACAGATTTGCATCGAAGCGTTTCTTATGATAGTGATTTTAATCACTGTCAGATTAAATCTAGACTGAACCCAACTATGCAATGTCTCCACTATGCCGCGACCCCACTGTGCTACCGTTTTTTTATTTAAAATTAATCAGTCTATGTTCCACTTCTCTACAAAAAACTTATTTTCTGCTATTATCTCTTATACTATCACATCAACTTTCGATCTTCAAATGGCAACCCCAATTTTTTTTTTTTTATATCAGATTTGTTAATTAAAAAAAATTTTTGCTAAAAATTTAAAGTTTGGGGCAATTAGAAAAGAAGAATATTTATTTTTAATAAATAGCATCTTTATTGGATTTTAAATTGATCATATTTTTATGAACCGATAGAAATTACTGAAATACAACATAATGTTGTTATTCTTTAAAAATACACTTTTTTCTGAGTAACCATTTGCATTTTTTATAACAAGATGTTATAAAATACAAATACATAACAATTTTCTAACGAGAAAATTAATTTGTTTTAATTTAAAAAATTAATATCTTCTCAGCTTTGCAGGAAAGCTAAAATCAATAGTTGTTATCATAAAAACGATCAATGACATAGTATAAAAAGAATTAAGTCTCTGTACTTATTACTATTAATAAATAAACTAAAGATTTGAATAATTCACCATAATTTGATGAATTATCATATAATTTGACTCTTTCCAATAGTAAATGATGTGTTTGTAACCACATATTTATTAAAAAAGGGCTTTTTCAAAAATAGTGATTAAAAAATATAAAATCTCAATAACTTTGTTATTTATTCAACTAGAAAATTTATAAATATTACCTGGCAAATGCATCAGTGTCTAATGCTGACACATTGAATACTTTCTTGTCTTTCATTAAAAATACAGATTTGATATAAGCAACAAATGCTCTTTGAGCTGATTCTTTAAGTATATGATCTTTAGCTAATGTAGCTTCTAATGTTCGTTGAACTGAAGTTAATTTACTTGGATTAACTCTAAAATAAAATAAAATAACTCATATAAATATCTTAATTAATAATTACTTATAATATTTATAACACATTTACTTTATTTCTTGAATTGGAATTTTTTTACTTTCCAATTGTTCTAAAATAGGAGTTTCAGATGGTAAAATTACTAATAAAGATTCCCCAGATTTTTGAAAACGAGCAGTTCTCCCTGCTCTATGAATATACTCATTTGCGTTTTCTGGGCAATCTAATTGAACAACCCAATTAACAGCAGGAAAATCTAAAAATATCAAAATGTTTACAATAAATTCAATTCTTAAATAAATTATTTAGTTACCAAGTCCTCTAGCTGCTATATCTGTAGCAAACAGTACAGCACGCTGTTTTCTACAAAAAGACTCATACACAGCCATTCTTTTTGTTTGGTGCATTGTACCATATAAGGCTAATAAACTTGTTCCTGGTCTAAGTTTACACAGAACTTCATAAAAATATTTGACCTACATACATTATAGATGGTAAAATTAAATGTTATTCGATGTCATCAATTTAACAATTCAATAGTTACTTGTTTACAACTTGACATGAACACAAGGACTTTATGATGTAAATGATTTTTTATGAATGACCATAACAAACTCATTTTATCATGTAGTTCACATACCATATAGCTTTGTACCAAACCAGCAGGTGTACTATACTCAGAGGTCTCGTGTACAGATATAAAATGAGGATTGCTTAAGCTAAGTCTAGCTAAATCCCGCACAGATCTAACATTTATTTAAAATAATTAATATAAGTAATATTAATTTAAGATAACTTATTATTAATACTAATATACTTTGTTTGAGTTGCAGAAAATAAAATAGTTTGTCTTTCAGGAGGTAAATTTTCAATTATAGAGTTCATAGTACTTTCAAAGCCCATATCTAAACAACGATCAGCTTCATCTAATACTAAAACTAACATATTAGAACAATCAAATAATGGGTTTTCATCCATATGCTGTAAAAGACGGCCTGGAGTGCATATCATTATGTTACATTGATCTAGACGTTTACGTTCAAATTTTAGATCTTTTCCTCCTGTTATAATATTACTATAAATAAAAATTGATAAAAATTTGCAAAAAATCAAATACCAATTATTAAGCCAGCTGAAAACTCATGATGAATTCCAATTTTACGAAGTGTTTCAAAAATTTGATAAGCTAATTCTCTAGTTGGAGTTATTATTAATGCTGCTAATCCTTCAGAGCGAGTCCACTTGTTACAGTACAATAATTCTAGTACCTAATAAATTTTAATTGTTGAGTACTTGGAAAAAAAAATAAACTATAAAATCTGTACTGGTATTAGAAATGCTAGTGTTTTGCCACTACCAGTTTTGGCAGCTCCTAATATATCTTCACCGCGTAAACTATAACCAATGCTCTCTCGTTGTATTTCTGTTGGAATTAAGTACTTATTTTCCTTTAAGCCTTTGATTGTAGGAGCTGATAAAGGAAAATCGTCAAATTTTTCAATTGAACTTGGGTCAATCTAAGAATAGTAATAAAACTTAAATAATAATGAATTATTAAATATTTTTGATCATGTTAAGTTGAATTATTTTGAAAAGAATAAAAATAAGATAATAGTTTGAACAAATGTTTTACTTTTTCGTAGTCTTGTTTAAGTTTTGATATTACTACATCAATGGATTCTTTCTTTTTCCTTGGTCTGAACACTTTAATTTTACGTTTCTTATACACCATTTCAATAAATTGTGCAAAATCTAATTTTAACAAAACTGTTTGATTTTAAATAAATCTAACTCGCTCTCGATAATCAAATTAATGTGATAAGTTATTTTATAATATATTATTAATATTATATTTTAGTTAAATAATGAAATAATGTTATTTAAATACACGTGATGATTGTTAGCTGATAATAATTACCATATTTGATATCACAATAGTGATAAAATCATAAGCTGTCTTGGTCAAAGACATCAGAAAAATTCTATATATCAACCATAACATCATAACTAGAGAATAGAACTTGTTTATTTTGAATAATAACTAAACTAAGATAGATTCATTAAAATATATCCACCTTGAATTAAACATTAATTATAATGTCTAAGATATTAACAATTTTATTGTAAGGAAATTTCAAAAACATAAAAATATATTTGTATGTCTATGGAAAATATTATCACTTAGCCAACCAAAAACTGTGGTATAAAGCTGTTAATCGTATTTAATATTTGATAATGCTTATCAATTATTTGTGTAAACATTTTATAAATAATGGTTTTGCAATAACATTGCATACCTTTAAAAATAAGTTACATTTTGAATTTTTTTTTTTAAATATACTACTTTCATATAGAACAATAAAATTTTACATTTGGACCAATTTATTTAATTAAACAATTGTTTTTTGTCAATAATATTAGAGTAAACCTAAATAAAATGAATACTGATGACTTATTAAGTGAAAACACAGCTGAACCAACAACAAATCTAGAAATACCACCACAAACACAAACATCTCCTTTAACAAATGAGTCAATAACATTGCCTTCAAATTCTTCTGTAAATACTTTTATTGAAAGTAATACAAATGTTACACCAATGGAAACAGATGAAGGAATACGACTTGTAGTAATTTGAAAAAATTTAGTAGTGTTTGTAAATGTTGTGTAGAGTGTAAAGTTTTTTTTTGTGTAGCCTCAGCCTATGGAAATTGAGACATCTATATCAACAGCTTCTACAATTGCATCAACATCTCCAACTACTACAACACCAACATCTCCAGCTATGCCAATTTCTAATGCCAAGCAAGCTATTGCCCAAACAAGTAATCTACAACAAAATTCTAATACTCAACAAACTGTATTGAAAAACATAAATAGCACAGATAATGCTGCAGTAAGTACAAAAAATCCTTAACTATAAAATTGTGGTTGTAGGATAAAAGTTAATCAAATTAAAAAATACATTAATTGATTAACCTTGTTATTTACATTTTTTTTTTTTATTTAACTCAAATAGCACTGTTTACTACATTTCAATATTTTTAGCTGTTAACTAAAACGAGGTTACGTGAATTGGTGAAAGAAGTTGATCCCAATGAACAGTTAGAAGAAGATGTTGAAGATTTAATGCTACAATTATCTGATGAATTTGTTGATGAATTGGTCAAAGCTGCATGTGTTTTTGCAAAACATAGGAAATCAAATATAGTTGAAGTAAAAGATGTTCAACTTTACTTAGGTAAAAGCGTGTATAAAGTATATTAGTAAATATTAGAGATATTCTAAGTAGAAATGTATGAAAAAAATATATGAGTACCAAGTTAAAACTAAGTATAAAAATGCTTACAATCCGAAAAGGACCCGACTTTAGTCAATGCTAGGCTTGAGGATCCCTAACAAGATACGATAATCCCTAGTTCCATATATATACAACTTAAAAAAAAAATTAAAGAGAAATGTAATATATTCCTCACACCCAAAAAATATATTTTTATACAATAATAAATGTTAATTTCTAGTCTTTTTAATTATCTAATTCATAAATTGGGGATCTAGATTTCTAACCATCATATAGCTGTGCTAGTAGATAGATGCAACTTATATTAATAAAGTAATTAACTGATTTTATCTTTGTAAAATCAATTTTTGCCATTAAAATAAAAATGATTATAGTTGTTTTTAGAGTAAAATCACATAAAACAACTTATTTTTTTTGTTTCTGTATCAATTATACATATGAATATTTTTAATATTCAATTTATTATTATTCAACATTAGAAAAAATGAATAATTTTTATGAAATAATTACTAAATAAACATATTTTAACATTATGAGTAGAAAAAAAATTACTTAATTAAAATGGAACAATAAATTGTATTTCAAATATTATCATTCATTATTATTCACTCGAACTGATTGAAAAAAATATTTATATAATCTTAATGGTCACTCATACCTAAATAAGTCCCCAAAATTCATTGGACTTGAGGATCATTCTACCCTTAATCTAGACCTAAAACTGAGTACTGGGTGAAATATGAGTCTTAAAAAGTAAGCAGGTTAATCAGCTTTTGAATAAAAACTTGGTTGCTAAAATATCTCTATTAAATATATTAATACTCTACAAGTATTAAGTTATTATTTAACATTTAACAAGTATTGTTTCATGTTGAATAATTACATTTTAATTAGTAAGAATAATAAAATACTTAGTTATTGTTCTAATTATAATTGTTACTTACTTTTGATATTATAGATTAAACTAATTAAATTTATTTTTATTTTTAAATAGATTTTTGTTTTTATTATTTAAAAAAAACGAATGTGTACTGTTCAGAGAATTAATAATTTAATTTTTTTTTTTACGTATGTCATATAATAAAAGTGTTTTTTTTTAATTTTCTAGAACGTTATTTGAATATGTGGATTCCAGGATTTGGTACTGATGAATTAAAGCCTTACAAGAAAGCGCCAATTACTGATGCCCATAAACAAAGAACTGCTCTTATCAAAAAAGTTGCAAATAAAAAATATTAATACCCTAGCAAATTACTTTTATTAATTTTATAAATATTAGTAAAAAAACTTAATTTAATTTGTGTAATAAATATAAAAAAATTATGGATAATTCATTAAAAATATTATAACTTAATTAATTAATTAATTTTATTATTTTTACTTAAAATCATAATCAAATTGTTAAGGTAAAGAAATCATTAACTAATACACAGGTATGACAATAGTTACATCCAACCATGTAAATTTCATAAAATTATGTACCAGCCAAATAACTTATAACTACCTTTTTTTATTTTTACATAATGATACTTATTCTATTCAAAAGAATAAATAATATAATAGTATATATTGTAACTATTATTAATTAGCACTAATAGTTGGATGGTTAGAAGTGTAGAGCCCTCTAATATTTATGAAATTTATAAAAACATTTATGTAATATTATAAGCCCCAACACACTTGTTCTTCTTTGCACTAAAACAGGTGTTATGGTAGAATCTCATTTTTCATAATCTAATCATTGATAATAATAATTTTATTATTTAAATCATGATTACCCATTAGGTACTATTGGAACTATACCTATATATTTATGAATTTTAAGACTTTCTATTTTGTTCATCCCATGTTGATTGTTTAAAAAAAAGATATATTTTAGTTTAGTTACCAAATTGAATTTTTTTTTTTTTTGGTGTTTCAAAATAAAAGTTTTCTATTATTAATAACAGATTTTGTAAAAATAGATGTATAGATTGAAAATTAGATCTATTGCAAATTATTAAGCCTAATATCAGAATTGGTAGTGAGCCACCTGAATCACTTTTTTTGGATATTACTAGTTACACACATTTTGGCGCCAACAATGTCTTTGCTGGTTTTTAAAGTATTTTTGTCGGTGATTCCAAATCTACCCTTAATTTTTAGTATATTAATGAAGATTTTAGCAAAAGTTGAGATTAATCCATTTATTTTAACCTTTCCTTATGGAGTTTTAAAGTTAAACTTTAAATAAAGAAAAAAAATCATAGCTTAATTATTTAGTATGACATTTCTTAGGTGTCAATAAAAAAATTGGTACCCACTAAAAAAAAAAGTTTTTCAAAAACATTAATTTTACCTACTAAAATGAAAATGATTACTATTAATAGTACAAAATGTACTTTTGGCTCAAAATATTCTAATTATGACACATTTTTATGTATATGAGCTTTACATAAATAGTACATAATAAATCAAATATTCATGTAGAAGTATTCAAGGCCGAACCCAAGTAGTTGGGTTTAAGGTGAGGAAAAAGAAGAAGAAAAACATGAATAAATAAAATAAAATAAATAAATGATCAGTTTTACATTCTTCTATTTCCCGAACTTAACATAATGCAGAAGGTGGTGGCCCTCTTTCACATATTAGGTAGTCAAAGATATTTCCTATCTAGGACAATGATGGATGGGGCGGATATTATGGCTGACTTGCACCTGAGAGCAGACACTATCAATGAGAAAATCACAAAATAATTCATAATTGTTAAATAGTAGATGTAGTTAATCATTTAGTTGAAATGAATCACATGAAAAATCAATATTTGACCATGTACCAAATGGTGTCAACTTTTTACAAGTGAAAACAGATTCTGTCACACGATACTTAATAACTTTATATTTAGCAGGATTACAAGCATAAAAGTTTGAAAGACAACAGCATAACACTGATAAAATTTCTTCCAATGAATAAATGTTATCATGTCCAAATATGCAACACAAACACTTACCCCATTTCACTTTATTATAACTTTAATATATTCTTATTACAACAAAGTTCATTGGAATTTTTTTAGTATCCATTAAATAAATTCTTTAATAAATCGTTTTTTAACACAAGTTTTATTTAAGTATGTAAAAATCTGTATTTGAAATATATCCTACAAAAAATATAATATTACAATAATGAGAGATGCACAAACAACAACTTTTAAAAATACATGTTATTAATACCACAGATAAAGATATGTTTTATCTTATCTGTTTATACCATGTAAAAAAATTTAAATTGATAATTTTTTTAATTATAATTTATTCATGAGGAATAAAACTACATCATATGTTCTAGTCAACATTTTCAACTTCGTTAACTACTCCCAGTCCTGTTGTTGGGTAGTAACTTAACTTCAATTAAAAGTTATAGTAATGAAACTACATGTAAAATAATTTTAGCATAATTTAATTATTAAAATAAGAAGTCATTTGATACTTTAATACTTGAGGAGTTTAATTTAATAGATTGTATTGTCTTTAAATGACTTATTTAGAATTTTAAACTAAAGGTTTAACATAAAAAAATGTTCTTACTTCCTCTTCATTAAATCAAAATTAAAGTATTTTTAAGTCCTTCCTCTTTAGTAAGGTTTTTTCCCCAGTAAATATGTCTAATGACAATAATCAAGAATCCAATAATACTATATTTATTATGGTATATTTAACATAAATTTGACTCTTAAACTTCTACTTCGCAATTTAATTATTAAATAAATACAATGAAATCAATGACATATTTAGATAGAGCACATTGACATGTTATCTCCTTTAGCAGTGCTATACTTACATAAAAACATTTGTTAACCTTTTCTTTAGTCATTATCAGAATAAAATGAAAATACAATAAGTTTTCATCAAAACTTGTCAGTTAAAAATATTTTTTAACTCTCTCATCTTCATTAAAAATTGCTAAATATTCTCTTGAGTGAAGTCTCAATAAAATTATTACTGGTAAATTGATTTAAATCAAATAATTTTCATATTTACTAAATAACTGAAAAAATTAAATTCCAATGTATTTAAGTTATTTTTTATTATAAAAGTAATGCAACTTCATTACTTGTTATATCAACTAATTTTTAAGTTCCTAATCTATCGAGCAATTTGTAATTTAATTTTTAAAAGAACTAAATTATCTAATGCTGCCTAATATTAAAATAAAAACATATCCCCTTATAAACTATATACTGTATTTCCTATACCAATGTTATCTAACTTTATGCTACAGTAATTGATTTCTAAATTCAATTATTTTTTGTCTCGATGATTATATTAATTTATCAGTAAAAATATAAATGAAATTAGTAACTCTAATGTTAATTCAAATAATACACAAACAGGAACTTATTTAGATGACTATATTTCATAAATAAGTTAAGAAAATAGGCAATAAAGCATAAGTAATTAAAAAAAAACAAATTCAACAATAACAGACATAGAACAATCGTGAGCTACATATAATACTTTTACAAATCTTCAAAATGCATCTTCTAATGACATAATTATCATATTTAGTAACTCTGCGTGCTCAATAACATCCAAAGATATTAAATTAAAATTATTTGCTTGTTGTGTCAAACCTAAAAATAAAGCAAGTTTTGTGGCTAATGGGTTTTTTGGTTCTATAACAGTAGTATTATCTGGTTGCATCTGAAAAATTAATTAACAAATATTAACTAAAATAATTAAAGATTCACAATATATTACTTTATCTGCAGTAAGTTTATGTACTAAGCCATCTGAGCCCAAATAAAAAATTGAAAAACCATCATGCCACCTGAAATAATAAATCATTACATTCTGTATTATAAAGCTTAGTTAAATACAGATATATTTAACTACAAAATTTATTTTTCATTTTAAAAAACAACTACTAGATTACACTAACACTTACACTTCTATATTATCCTTTATTACATTTTCCAAGTCCCAAAATTTAAACTTCCAAAATTTTACGAATACTTTAAAACCTGATATACCTTTAATTCTCCACCTTATTTTAATTGTACCATCTTCAGGGTGTTTGGTAGCTTTTAAAACATCAAATTTTACAAAGGCATATTTACAATGGCCTATCACGCGTAACAAAGATACTGTTGTCATAAAATATTGTAAGCCACTAAAATATCAAATTTATATATAAAATAAGAAATTTAATTGGAAAAAGTATTATATTAGAAAATTTTTAATTTTTTAAAATGTATCTTACACGCTCCTCGTTCCTCTAATGTTGTTTTCAAACACCAAGCTGGGATGATAAAAAGAAAAATCTAAATTTTCCTTGAATAATTTTGGTAACTGAAAAATAAATAGAATATTCAAATAAATTAAACATTAAATAAATCAAAAATAAAATGTTTTAAATTTGACAAATGAGATTGAAAATAATTTTACTGTAGAATACAATTACTAATTTAGTCTTAAACCTCAGAATTTAGTTTTACTTACATCTTCAACTAGTCTATTTTGCATTGATTGTAACTGTTCAGCACTTGGTAAATCTTTTGTGTTATTTGTTGGTATAGATGAACTTGATGAAAATTTATTTATCCTATTTGTTAATTTATCAATAGGCAATTCAGATTTCTTTGTTAGATTACACTCCTTAAACCACTTCATTGATTTAGCATCAAAAGAGCATTTATTTTCAATTTTTCGATTGCTTGCTGATAGTGATATGAGGTAAGATATATTTGTTACATTCTAAAAATTTTACTCGGTTAAAAATTAAAAATAATACATTTCTATTAAATATAAATTCCACAAGAAAACGAGTCCAAAAACGAAACTTTACCTGTGAAATTGATAAAGGAACTGCTTTATCTGACATTAGAAAACTGTATGTCGATACTTTATTACTAGTCATCAAATACTGATGACCGTTTCCAAATTTCGTACAAATTTTGCGAACAGCGTTTGCCATGATTTAATTCACACAATTTATCAATTTATATGAAATATTTAATACTTAACGCAATGATAATAAGAAACTTTAAGTCTTCAAGTAGTTAAATTTAATTATATTTCAGATATTGTTCGAGATTGAAAGCCGGGTTCAGAAATTAGCAATTACTGCATGCTCGGGACGTAAAAAAGATAAGACTTATCACTCACATAGAAATATAATCTTTAATCGCCAAATCAATAAAAGGTACATATTTTGCGTTTAAGTAGTAACACCAATGACCTTCTTCTGACTGTGTAACTGTATCAGATATAAGTTTAGTGATAATCTTCTGAGGATTCTAAAAAATATTTTTGGTTAAAAATGCATATGGTTTTTCTAAATTTTCAGGAACGCAGCCCTCCTTTCTAGGCCTATATAAAATTATCGGTTTATCCTTGAACCACTCGATTAAAATAAATACAATATTAGAAAAATAATTTTTTATTTGTTTAAATTGAATATATCTTTTATTTATCACCTAATAATTACTTTTTAGAATTATCTTTTATAACTTATAGGAGTTTTAACTTTCCTTTTTTAATGTTAAGATAATATATTTAACTAGCTTTTAAAATAGGAAATAATTTAGTTACGAAAATAACCGGTCAATAACATCTTTTGAACCAGTATTTTAGAAGTTACTAACGACTTAAAGTACCTATTGGTGGGAAGAGTGGGTACTGTTATTTTTATCACTAGTCATTTACCGGTCGTAATCTGCGTCTCGCCTTAGTATAAAAATGAGAATAGCTTCCGAAGTACTGGTCCAAAAGTTGTTATTGACCAGTCACTATCTTAGTTAGATTATTTCCTATTTTCTAAGTTAATTAAATATGTATGTAAAGTTAAGTCCCTTTTAGTTCTAAGGGATGATTCTAAAAATCAATTAATAGCTAATAAATCAAGGGATATGTATAACTAAAAACATCAAAAAAATTATTTTCAATATTGTATTTATTTTGAGAGTACTGAAGTGGTTTATCATAAACCAATCAGTCTGTATTGTAGACACATATTTTTCCTTCGATCTGAGTGACGTAGTCTATTTTTCATTTTCATTATTTCTAGAACATTTTTCTTCGATTACAGTTCAATTAGATTAAAGCGAGGTTTATTTTAATAGTTTTTTAATTGTAGCAACATCAGTAATTTTTAAAGACTAAATAATAGTAGAGTGATTTTTTATTTTTAATGTTTGGCAGATTATTAAATTAATGTTCAGTAAGTATACAATTAAAAACTACTAAACATTTTTTTTGATATTTTAGCTTTAAATACTGCCATATTTAGGTTAAATATTCTAAACAATATCATAATTTTAAACAAAACATTTTTTGACATTAAATACTTTGGAAAATATGTTACATATAAGAAACTATTAGTGATATTAAATATTATGCATTATTAGGTACAAATTATTATTTTCAATTATAGTCTTTATTTGTATTGAAAAATGGTATAAGATGAACTTATAGTATATTTTTTATGTATTCCTCTTTTTTATCAGCTCCACTGACAGCAGCACTAGCTTCAGTTACCATTTGAGGCATTTCGTAGAACTTATTTATAACCAGTGGTTATAGTTATGGTGAACGGAGTCCCCCTAGTCACTAAAAGCGCATACACACGCGATTAAATTGTACAACTATGTAATGGATCGAACAATGAAACATCAACAATAAAAAAAATAACAGTTTGGTTAGAATGTGATAAACATGATGGATACTTTCAAATGTTGAATGATGATCAAATTATTGATAATGTTATTATCGTTGAAGAAGTTGAAGACGACGTTAAAGATTTAGTAACAAATCAAAAATCGACTACAAGCCACTTTGAAGCAGAGGCTATTTTATTAAAGTGCATCGACTGGTTTTTAGTAAAAGAGGAAGCAAATACAACGCTGGTTTTACTTCATAAAGTACGCAACATCGACGCTTTAGAAGCTCGAGCCTCGAACAAAAAAAAAATTACTGATTATTTTTTAAAATTTAAATAAATGTATTTAATATTTAGCTGTTGTCAAATTTTAATAAAGAAAAAATATTTTTGTTATTTTCTTTTGGAGGTGGTAATGAAAATTTTTCTTAGGTATATCCCCGAGTGATTTATTATAGCAATAGTGGTATCTTATAAAAATGTGCCCCCGTTCCTATAATATTTATTTTTTAAGGTAAATTGTGACATGTTTTGTCTATAAAAGTAATTATAACTTAATAATTATTTTTTTACTTTAGATAAATTGCATGTGTAAAATTTAAGATATGATTTAGAAAAATATTAAGGTATTTTAAATATGTATATATAATACTCTAAAACAAATATTTAAAATCAACAATTTTTTTATGTATCTACATCATAGTCTTAAGAATTTAATTATTATAGATTTAAAATAATTTCATTAATTTTAAACATAAGACTTCTTCATAAAAATAGTCAAAGATTACTTCATTTTGTAAAATAGTTTTTCACCAATACATTAATGATTCAGAAATTTATTTTTAAAAAATTCTAATATATCAAAAAGATTTAATTTATTGGTTTTTAAAATATCAAACAATCATGACTTAAATGAACAATAACTAATTTAATGAAAAAAAATTGACATACATTTTTAAAACATAAAATATATATAATTTCCATGGCAAAACCAACCATTTAAACATTTTGAAATTTATATCTTTAATTATAATATTTATACATATTTGAAGCTTTATCATAATAAAGATTTATCTATTTTCTTGAGATAACGGGGTATTAAAAAACTTATTTCCAAAGGTAAGTATACAATAATAATATATACTTTCTTTCTTTCAAATAATTGTAAATTTCTTTCAAAAAAAAATTGTATTCTACTCAATGAAGTTTTTTTTTTAAAAAAATTCAAAGAACAACTATTTTATAATGTTAAAAAAAATGTGCTTTTAATGTAGTCTACAAAAATGAAAATTAAAAAAAAAAAAAAAATTATAGTGAAATTTTAATTATATTAAAAATTAAAAGAGTTGTCAGTTATATTTGTTTAATTCTGATTATATAGAGTGATTTTTTTATCATAATCCACTTGATTAATACAGAATAAAAATAATTTCAACATTTTTGTTTTGGTTATCATTAGTTACACATTATTTTTGCATTATAAACTATGTAATACTTTTTGAGTTCATTCCTTATGCCTTGTAAGGGTGTTAAATTTGTTTTATCAAATGTGAAAAAAAAATTCATTTAATAAAATATTCAAGTTTTTAATTTAATAGTAAATGACATTTGAGTTTTTAATGTAACTTTATTTGTCATTAGATATAAAATTTTAAAGTTTCAGATTTTTGAATTAGTATACTTGAATAATATACGAGAGATTACAAATACAGGTAGCTAATTGGTTTTTTATGATGTTGATATTTGTAGATACGCAACATTTATTATCAATGGTAGATATGAGTTTATAAATACACCAACTGACAATACAGATAACATATCTATAGAGAGTCATAATAGACAATAAACATTCTGTGACTGTGATAGCAACATCATAAAAAACCAATTAACTACCTGTATTTGTATCCCTTTTATACTATACAAGACTTGTTTAATGTACTTAGTATATTTACTCAAAAATCTGAAAGTTTAAAATTTTATATCTAATAAAAAAATAAAGTTATATTAAAAATTCAAATCCCATTTACTATTAAATTAAAAACTTGAATATTTTATTAAAATCAAAATTTTTTTTTCACATTTGATAAAACAAATTTAACACCCTCATAAGGCATAAGAGATAAACTTAAAAAGTATTACATAGTTTATAATTCAAGAATAATGGGTAACTAATGATAACCAAAAAAAAATATTTAAATTATTTTTATTCTGTAAGTAATTGAGTGGGTTATGATAAAAAAACCACTCTGTATATATTTATATAAATAATGGAAGTTTATAATTATAATTTACAGAATGACTAGTTTATATCTATAAAAATATTTTCATTATTTTAACAACATTTTTGTTTCAGAATTATTTTCAATCTTAACTTATTAATTGCTTGAATACACAGCCATAATTATTATACAAACAATTTTCTTAAACATAATATAAATACAAAAGCAATATTGTAAATTTTATGTGTAAAATATTGTATTTTATAAAAATACTAGACAATTTTGACTATATTGCTCAATTGGAAACACAATGTAACTCAGTGATCATTACTAAGGTTTGATTCCATCTAACATTAAGCTGCACAGAGTAATTGTTTAACTATTGATTCATGAAATATTTAAAAAATAAAACATAATATAATTTTTTCTTCTTTGAAATTATTAGTATCTTTTATTCTATAATTTTCAAAAAAAAATATCACATAGTCTACTTAGCTCTTTTAATGGAAATAATGTTTTAACCAGTTTATAAATAAAATAATTATCCAACTAAGAAAACAACTGGTCATTGACAACTTTGGAATCTGTATTTTGGAAATTATCCACACAGTACTAACATGTGATGACATAAAGCATATGTCAATTTATTTTTATTTCTAAGCATTTTTAGTAAAACAAAAGTTTATACACCTTTTCACATTCTAGTATAAAAAGTGCTAATATTTTTAAAAATACTGGTTCAAAATTCATTAGTGACTAGTCATTTTCTAATAAATGACTAATTATTCTCACTGTTGAACATAGATGTTTTTATTTAAAAAAACAAAAGTTAATAAAATTTTAAGGGGTAGTATGATGGGGTAGGATAATTTTTTTTAAAATTATAGTATATAGGATAGAATTATATCTGAAAATTAAATTTTAAAAATGCGAGTGAGTTATAGTTAAACAATCACCCTAAATAGGTTTTTTAATTTTTCCCATTGAATACAATAGACTGTAGGAAGGAGTTAAATTTAAATAAAAAAAAATAAATATAAAATGATAAAACATTCTTTTTGGCATATTATGTGATATATTCTATTAATTAAATAATCGTATGAAATATTATTTAATACAAAGTAAAAATATAGAATTTTAAATAAAATAGTGTTAATAAAAACCGTGCAAAATGTATTGCTGAGAGTTTTAATTTTAAGTATTTACAACAATTCTATAACGGAGTTTGATAATCACTTATTTCAGTGATCTTGCTAATGCAGTCAAACTCGGCACTCATTTTTGAGGAAAGTTCTAAGCTATGTTTTAAAATATTTTTTGGTGACAAACTTTTTGTATTAAAAAGTGGCATAACTGATATAATTACACGACCTAAACATTTAAATAGCAAGTCTAGATTATATATCTAATATTTTTAAATTATTATACATACCAGCTTCAAACAATTTTTTATCCTTATTAAGGAAGTAATATTTAGAAAATACAATGGGTTGAATTGGTAAACTATTTTGTAAAGCAAATTTTACTGTACCTTCATAAGATGATGCAGAAGTCAAAATAATGTTAACCTAGAAAATGTTGATGTTATAAAATAGTATTTTTAATATAGATTTGTCAGATTTAAAAAGTTGGAGATATGAGATGAAAATTTTTTATTTTACTGTGTTACATTTTTTTATTTTAAATATAAATGTTTTAAATAATGTAGTAGATTGGAGGGGTATATCTCCAACTAAAATTGAGGTGCAATTGTTATGTAAAATTTATATGCGTTAGCATATTTTTTTAAGTGTGGTACATGATAAAGACTGCTTTTGAACTTTAATAAAAAGTGTAATTACAAGGGCTATGAATTATATGTATTTATAAATTTGGTTTGAGCCACTCTATTGTAGAATTATTTAGCAACAGAAATATTTTTTGTTTTATAGGGATAACCCACTAATTTCCCCCAAAACTAAAAAAATCTGAAAACACATATTTAAATTTTCAAGCCAATTAATAATAATTTGTACTGGCTGATTGTGTGTTCAGATTAACTTAAGAAAATTTATAAATGCATCAAATTTACAGTCATGGCAATTACTTATAAATCATATAAGATTATTATGAATTTTTTTTTAGATAATGAAGAAAAAGAAAATATTTTCTAAATAAAGGACATTTAAGCATCCCATAATTATTCATTAGGAAAAAATATAGAAATATTGAACTCATATAAATTTATAATATGGAATGTCTAGCCATCCTAATTTAATATGAATTTAAAATGACTACCTTAGTGTTAGTAGATGAAAAATGTGGAAGACTTAAGTTTTCATTTATAAAATTAACAGGATTAAGTAAAATTGATAAAAGCCACGGTAAAAAGGAAAATGGCCATAAATTGTTATAATTATTTTCAATTATGATATCCAATTCACTACCTTGATGACGTATCAACTGTAATAAACCTGAAAGTATTTAAAGTTTTTAAATAGTTAATTACTAAGCATTTAATAATAACTAAGTTTACTTCTAAAGCAATACAAATTTTTAATACTAATTTAAAAATTTTATTTGGTAGAATTAAAAAAATTAGAAGAAATGAGTTGAACATAACATAAAATCATTTTCATATATTTTCAGTATAAAAATGTATTTTATATAGAATTAATTTTAGATTTATTATGTAATAATTATTTATATTATTGAATAAAATTAATTTTATCATGATACGAGCACATAACTTTAATATGAATGGTACACAAAACAAACAAGATAAATAAATTTTTTCAAAATTGAGATTTTTGTGGCAAAATATTTAATATATCATAATTTATCTTTTAAGCTGCCAAACTAATGGAAAAAGTGGATTATTCAAAAGTGATACTGTAGAATAAATTGGTGTTTTGAGATTTAAAAATCAATTTTCTTAGTTAGGAAAAAATTGACTTACTTTTTTTTGTGTATCCTTCATATACTATATAAAGTGCCCCAAAAACAAAGTATGCTTGGTATGCAAGGCAAATAGACTTTGCAACTTTTATACATTTAGGAATAGGCATTATTTTTAAACTTTTGATGAGGGAATAAGTGGGGCATTAGCTGCACTAAGCTTAGTATTTGCAGCACTGATTACATACCTTTAATTGTTAATTAATATATAAATAAGCAAATAATAAATATTTATAACCTAGTGCATCAATTGGATTTTGGCCATTGATTAAAATAATTTTTCTACAATTAATTGAAAGGTTTTGTTCCCCATACAAATGCCATTCGATAGATAGCAAATCAGATATCTGTTGACCAAAGTAAGTAATTAATCTGTAATATTTAAACAAATATTTAAAACATTTTTTTTTAACACACAAAAGTTCATATTAATGTAAAACTTTAAAATATAGTTTGCAACAATGTAAATATATAAAAGTTTTATTCCAAAAATTACATTTGCAATGAATATAAGAAGTACTGCACGTTTAAGTATGGTTAAAATCATTATAACATATATTTTTTTAAATTTATTGATACAATGAATGCTGATTAAATATAAAATTTAATTAAACTTTATATTTAAAATAATTTTAAAAAATTATGATAAGCCTATTATGAATTTTAAATTTAATTTCAAATTTACTAAAAAAATGATTAGTTATTATAACATCAGTGTCAATTTTTTTGGTAAGAAACAAGTATTAACAAATTGTAGTTATCACATTCAAAAATTTGATCAAGTTTTTATTTAACATAATTAAAACTAGGGATTGTCTTAACAAAATAAAAGAAAAAAATATGTCTTAAGTTAGGAGTTTTATATTCCTTAATATTGACTCTACATTGCAATATATAAAAATTTAATAAAATAATGTTTACAATTGTAAAAAAAAAAGGAACACTAAAATTGTTATCCTTTAATTACCTGTCTCGAAAATTATAATGGAAGACAGCTAATAATGAGGTTAACGTTGCCAACGTAAAAAATATAGACAAACGAAAGTAGTACCGAAATGTTCTACTTAAGTCATATAAAAATGGAAGTGAAATAAAAAACGAAAGGACCAGAATTTCTAACCATAAAACCATCATATAACTGTAATTTCAATATATAATTTTGGTTTTATACCACTGGCATAACACTACATGGTTAACAAAGAAATTTCCGTTAAGTATTGATTGAATGGTACAAAGTTTTGACAAAATCAAATGCACAAGCAGTGAATATCACACAAAAATAAGGTTTAATAATAATTGAAGTAGTCCTGTTATCTCCATACGACAACGCTACCGGCGTAGATAGTAAATTGTTAGTAACATGCATACGCAATTATTAAACAATATATTTGTCTTTTATTTCTATCACATAGATAGCGCACACCATTAAGAAAAACAATTTTGGGGTGCGCCAGTCACTTCATGACGCGTCATTTGCGATTTGCAGAATATTTTTGACGGTAATATCAAAAAATGTCTGTAGGGAAAAAATGTTCAAAAAATTTTGAATCGTTTTCACACCTCCGGAATTGTGTGACCTTTTTTCCTTGCACTTTTAAAAATTATCCATTAATAATATAAAAATATTGGTAATAAACTTCTTACTAAACCAGGTTATTTATTGTTTGATACATTTTTTTGGTAATTTAAGAAAGAAAATTGATTAAAGACTTGGATTTAAAAATTATATTTATCATTTATTTGGATTATTACCGGAAGCAATATTATTTGTTTGATGAGCCATAAATTATTATCAGTATTTATTCTTGCTATTGTAAGTGACAGATATGATAACGAGAATTGTTAATAAAAATTTGTTTATGTGACATCATTAATTTATGACACATTATTTCATATCGTTAAGTTAAAAATATGTGTTCCCATTAAAGAAAATTAAAATTAATCCTGAATAAATTAAAGAATCAATTTATTATAATAATATAATTAATTATGAAGACTTCAATATATGATCGTTAATCTTTTAATTACGTATTACTGTGGTTTGGCATAGCGAACACCAACCATCTATTTAACATATTTTGAAAATCTGGCAGTTGACCACGTGAACCTTAGGAATTGGGCTTACATTAACATATCTAAGATTTATTGATATAACTTTTTATTCCTAAGACAATGTCAATATTCTTGTCGATAGGGAGTATGTATTGTCACGTTTTAACTATGTTACCAATAAATGGTACTGTTTTATATTTTGTATACATATTATTATTTTCGTTTGTAAAACTGTATTTAATTAATATACTATAACAATTATTAATTAAATATATTAAATATTTCGAGAACTCGTACAGAAAAATGTTACTGATATGAATTAAATTTTTTTTATACATTTTACGCTACATGTATATATATTATAAAACAAAAATTCTCTATAATTTTTAATAAAATTCTTTGCGTTTATGTAGTAAAATTGCCTACGTAAAACGCCGTACGATTTGTAATTATTCATATTTTATAAACTTTAAATTAAAAATTAAAAAAAAAAAAATGTACTTTTCGTTGATTAATAACTGATGTTTACTCAGATTCACACTTAGGTAATTTAATAACAAAATAATGATTCCTTAACTGAAGATTGTTTAGGAACCACGTGCTATGTAGCTACAAATTAAATAGTATCGAAAAATAAATAAAAACCATAAACTAATGATAGTTTCAAGAAAGACAATTTTCTTGAAGAATGGAAATTTGCGTTGTAAATATTTTAAGAATTTATAGTTCCTTAATATTTATTGAATAATCTTCGTAACATTTTATTCCGTGAAAACTAAACCGTAAAAATTTTGCTTAAATATCTAATTATCAACTCAATTAATTCTAATATTTCAATGATTATTTAACAAAAAATTTCTTTTTTTAATGTTTTCATTTTACAAATAATAGTTGGCACAGTTCCACGTCGTTTCATGATTCACGATGCCCCGCGACTTGTGCCTCATTTATCAGCTTATTTAGTAGTATATAACAACACATATCGTATTTTATTAGTGAGGGTCAATTTATTATTTGTTTATTTAATACACTCTATTAAAGATTTGAGAGTATTAAATCAATGATTAGTATAATTTTTTTACTCGGGTTTTATATTGTAAATATGAGTGAGGATGATATCATAAATTACAAAAATAATTATACACTGAAAATATAAAATAGAGAGGAGTGCAAATTTTTATTTTTGTTATAAGATGAATAAACGCATAAAAACGTATACGTGCGTAGAGTGAAGTAACCTCTTTGTCCTGCACTCCTCCTCACCTATGGCCAAAAATATAACTTCCTATAGTAAATAGTGAACCGTTTGCGAGGTGAGTTCAGAAAATAACGGAAAATTTTTAATTTCGCGAATCTGAAGAGTCTGATTATTGTCGTTGTATGCCCAAGCTTTGTTTTACGCATCTTACATTTAACAATGAAAAATTTACTTTCTGTATTTTATATTATTTATAAACAAACAAATAACTTATCTTTCATAACATGTACACTGTTCAACACAATTTCTCATTATTTACATATATACCAATTTATCCATTGTTAATTGTGATCTCTCAATATAATACTCATGTAATGAGATCACTAAAAGCGCTGACAACAATATCGCTGGATTAGGGGTACCATCACACACTATAAAATACACTGAAATATTTTCAGAGCTCAGTTCGCTTTTGTCGAATTCAAATCTGAAATAATTTTCAGTCGCAACTCACAAGTGTTGTTGTTGACTGTCTTTCTTATGTGCATTTAGTTTATATATACGAAAATAATTTATTTTGATTTATTATTTTAATTTTATAACGAGAAAGGAATTAAAATAAAGATGTTATCTTTTTTAACCGTCTGTGAACAACATAATTATTAAATATAGAGTACGAATTTGATACCTGTAACACCGAAAGGTTAGTCGAATTGTCTTTGGATTATAATTTATTGCTGCAAAATACGAAATAAGTCAACTTATATTATGTAGACGTGTTTTTATGATCTTGGCTATTTTCTTTTGTTGGAAAAAATGGATCAAAGGATTTGTATCAAATTTTGTGTAAAAAATGAAATAAAGTGTAACAAAGTGTGTGAAATGTTAATAAAAGCCTATGGTGAGTCTGTTATGAGTAAAACAAGGGTTCACGAGTGGTATAAGCGTTTTCTAGATGGCTGTGAAGACGTTGAAGATGACGAACGCCCCAGCACATTAACAACCGATGAAAACGTGGAAAAAGTAAAAAAAATAGTTATGAACGATCAAAGAAGTCGCAGCAGTACATAGTGCATCATGAATTCTTGCCACGAGGTCAATAAGGAGTACTACCTACAAGTTGAATGCTATTTGTAAGAAGCAATCCGAAAAAAAACGATCAGATTTGTGGCAAAACAATTCATGGGTTTTGCAACACCATAATGCATCTGCTCACACTTCATTGTTTACTCGTGAATTTTTGGCAAAAAACAATACTGTAACGATGACTCAGCAATCATATTCATCAGACATGGTTCCGTGTGGCTTTTTTCTATTTACAAAAATAAAATAAAAGGTCCTCATTTACAAGCATAAATGACATAAAAAGCTCATTGCTGAATGAGCTGAAGGCTATACCAAAGAACGAGTTTGAGGAGTGTTTCGAGGATTGGAAGAAGCGTTTGGTACAAGTGCATAATATCTAATGTGGACTATTTTAAAGGCGACTACATTAATGCATACGAGTAAATAAATATTTTTTCTATATTTTTTTCATTATTTTCTGAACATACTTCGTACTTACGTATTCTTACCAAAATAACGTCACACTTTTTTATTATTATTGATAAGAATAAACTATTTATGATTCAAGTAGTTTATATATTTACATATACATCTAGATAAAATAATTGTATTCTTAACACATATGTTAAAGAGTATAGTTAGTTTATTTTATTTTATTTATCAGAAGATCAAATTTAATTATAGTATATAGTTAATTTTATTTTAACGTTGTATTAAAAGGAACACAGTTAATAAACTTCTAATGGAAAAATAAAATGTTTTTCGTTAAAAAATTTACCTCTAATTCTTTAATTTACTTTTATCTAATATGTAGTTACCATTTTTCAGCTGAAACTAATCAGTAAAATACATTTTTTTTAATCAAATAAGCTATAACCAAATAAATTTTCATGTAATATAATTATATCATATCGTTCAATATATACATAATAATTTGCAGGGTGCAATTAGACATGAAACTATTAGTCTATCTATCATAACATAATTTAAAAGTAATTCTAAAAAAAGATAAAAATCAGAAATTTCGATTTTAAAAATTCCATTAATATATAAATTTTAATACAATAAAAATAATTCAACGGCTATTTTATTCACTTAGAAATAAATTAGAAATAGCTTGGCTCCAATTTAAAATTAGCCATTCTAAAACTTCAGAAAAATATATATATATACATATGTATAACTCAATTTAGAGAGGAAGAAGTTAAATATAATAAGCCGTTTAACATTTTTTGTTGAAATTGCGCCTGTAATTATTCTAATAGAATAATATTCTATTCAATCAAGTAATAATATATTATTATTTTGAATTGAGTTGGGCCATTTGTGGTTGTTCGACTCTTTTGTTTTTTCTGAATAACAAAATTTAAAAAAATGTTCAACTAGTACATTGGCAATATTTTTTTTCGCCACATACTCAAACATTGTTTGTTGTATAAAAATTGCGTATATTACAACATACACGGCTGTGTACTTTATGACCAGAAACTGAATATAAATCATATTATCATTTTACGATGTTCGTATATATAATGTTCGTTACGCTAAGTTATTTGCAAATTTCCATAAGTTATATTTTTTGTTGTGGCGTTTGTTCGAGAATTTTATGCATTATCATGTAGTAATATACATGTATAATGTTATTATTGCATTGTTATCGATAACACGCGTGTAAAAACATTTTTAACAACTTGAAAAACCGTTGTTAGTATTTCTTTCAAATCATGATCATTTTATTTAAAAGTATTTCATTCTCGATAAAAATAAGAGCGGTTAGTTATATATTTCCTTTTACCCTGAATATATTTCGGATACTGGAGAGATATTTTAGTGGGCTTAGCCCCGCAAGTAATTATGAGATCTATCAAAGTAGATAATTTTTTCTTATAGCAAAGTTTAAAATCTAATAAAAACAACAAAGAGATGTAACGAGACAAATGAACGCTTTTGTGCTTTGCCTTCGTCCAGTATAATAAAAGTTAATATTATTTGTGAAACGCAT